GGCTGGGGGAGTGCGGGGGGGGTGGGCAGGGCAGGGGCCAGAGCACAGAACGGCTTGACCGTGGCGCCTGTGGGGGCTCTCGGGGAGAATCGCAGCCAGGGTGAGCTGGAGGGTTGCCCACAGACCCCACAGCGGGCAGCACTGCGTGAGAGCCAAGGCCGGCCCCAGCGGCGATGGTGAGAACAGAGGGGTGCGTATTGGCGAGCGTAGCCGACAGGTCTGTGTGTTTAGCGGGGACAGAGAACTGGCAGTCAGGACGGCAGCTGTGAGAGGCGCCGGCCAGTCTCTGAGACCAGCGGTGTCAGCTCCCAGCTGGGCCCCAGGGATGAGTCCCCGAGGAACCCTGAGTCCAGGTGCAAGGCCATCCCACGTTGGCGACTGGACCGACGGTAGGTTGGGGTTCGCACTGGGCACTCGGAGGCAGCGGGCCCTCCTCGGCCAGTCTCAGTGCCCCGTCTCTACCTTGGGAAGAAGGAACGCACGTGCTGCAGAAGAGGCCGGTGAAGCGAACAACGGCTCCGCAAAAGCAAAACCCACCTGAGCCAGAGCCAAGACCGCATAGTGCCTGGCTCAGGTCACAAGCTACGTCCCCAACCGGCAAACCCAGGGACACAAAACTGACGAGTGGCCGCCTGGGGTGGGGCTGGGCGGACACTAACGGTCAGTGGGCCTGAGTGACACTGGTCGGGGGGACTGTCCTGGCACCGACTCACCAAAAACAGCCAGCCACGCACTAGAGTTCCCCCAAATCAGCAGATGGCGTGCTGGAAATGGGAGTTCACACTATAGAAAAGAAGCCTCAGTAAAGTCGTTAAAAAACAGAAAAAAGAAAAAGTGGCAAAGAAAGGAAAGAGATGAATGGAGGCGATGTGACGCCTGGTGCAGAACAGACTCTGTGTCGCCTTGGAGAAAGGGACGACTTCGGACCGTGCTTCCCTGCCAGCTCCGGGAAGGCAGAGGGGCGAGGGAGCCCTGCTCCCCCAGGGCCTGACGGCGAGGCGGACAGAGGGCTCATGGAGCCAGGCAGCCACTCCCTGGCATGGACCTGGCCAACTACTTACAGTAGAGCATCCCGCTTTGGGCCAGCCCTGAAGCATAATAGTTAAACAGTGTGGGTAGGGAGCCAGATCCCACATGGCTAACCACAGTTCAAATCCCAGCCCCAGCAACGAGACAAGCATGTGTGTGTGCCCAGATCCTGACAGGATGGAGAAACGGAGAAGGGATTGCAGTGTTGACCACACTCCACTGGGGGGTGCTTTCCCCCTCTCCCTGTCTCTCCGGTGACTGCACCCACCCACTGGCAAAAAAACACATCACGCTTCTCAGCCTGGGTGGGTTTTAAGCACTCCTTTGTCACCCCTGATCTGAAGCTGTCCTGGGCAGCTGCGGTGTCCGAGATTAATTCTGCAAAGCGAGGAGTCAATTACTCGTGGCCTAATTCATGCAGGTGCAGTGTGAATGTGAGGCCTCCCCATGACGTGGGGGGACAGTGACCGAGGGAGGCTGTGTAGGTGCTCCAGGGTTCAAAGTCAGGGCTACAGATGGATAGTGAGAGGTTTATAGACTGAAAGTCACCAGGGAGCTCTCCGGGCGATGTTCTCTCTCCTCCACTGGGCAGTGGCCACGGAGCTACCAACCGATGCAAATTCACCAGCGGGAACTCTGAACTCTTACAACGTGGACACCTGTATATGTTTTATTCCAGGCGCCTCCAAACAGGTCATGAAAATGTGTAGTATAAAAGAACTGCATCGATTTCAAAATGTTCTGCACCCAAATAGACTAGTACTTTAATTCTATGTTTCCATGAACTTTCTGAGGGTCCCTTGAACACCGCCATGCTCACAGCAGAGAGCTATCTCTGGGGTTAGAATTCTAGCTGACGTTAATTTCCTTTGTTGTATCTGTCTATCCTGAAACGTGTGTAATGAACACACATTACTTTTGTTTTGAGAAAAAAGAGACACACTCTAGAAAGATGTTTTCAGTCTGGGAAAGAAACCACCACCACCAGGGCCCGAGAGCAAGGGGCTGTTGAGCAGCTGCCCTACCCCCTCCACCAGGGGCCAGGAACTCCCTCCACCAGTAGTGACAACAAAAATGTCTCCAGACGTGGCCACGTTGTCCCTGGGCGGTGGCATCCCCTCAAAGAACCACTGACTCAGACAAGACTCCGGTCCGGAGCGGGGCTGCGCACCCCAGGGGCAGGGGGCACTCACACTCTGCATTTTGGCCTCCGTGTCCACGATGTTCTTCTCCACCTGGTCAGCATTCTTCTGCAGTTGCTCGATCAGCTCCGAGAGCTCCTTGCTAGAGATGCTGCAGGCAGAAGCCGAAGGTAAGTGAGCCAAGGGGGCCCCGGCATCCCCAGCCCCAGGTGACCTCTGTCCCAGGCTCTGAGCTTTGCAGGGGCTGGGCTGTCCCCAAGGGCCATGTCATTAAAGCCATAGAGACAAGGCGGGCCTGGGGACACAGTGGGTGGCATGGGCCCCATGTTGGCCCTTCATGTTGACGGCACTACGTGGCCGCGTCGGCCAAGCATGACCTACGGCACTTTCTTCTTTTTTAGAGAGGTTTTTGCTATAGGGTGCGTACGCTCGCCAGAAAGACAGAGACAGACAGAGAGACAGAAAGCGAGAAATCACCCCCCAGGGGTATGGCCACGCCGCAATCCCTTCTCCTTTGTCCTCCTCTCGGGATCTTGGGTACGCATGCACACGTACCCGGTATGAGTTTTAAGCCACCAAGTCTGGGGCTCGAACTACAGTCGACTACATGGAAGCCCAGCGGCATAGCCATTATACCAACTGCTGGTCCCAACCTACAGTACTTTCCTAAGTTGAGAGAGCCCCAGTGACGCAGACTCCACACTCAAAGAATCCACTCAGTGTTTTTGGTCCACTCACAGTTGTGGAACGCTCGCGCCATCCGATTCCAGAGTTCTTATCACCCTGGAGCAGTCACTCCCTATCCCCATCCCCGCCCAGACGCCGCCTCTCTGCTTTCTGTCCGTGGAGTTGCTGTCCTGGGCATTTTGCACAATAGTACACACAGTGTGCGGCCTCTTGGCTCTGCCGCTTCTCACGGAACGCCTGGTCTTGAAGGTTCATCCTGACTGGAGCGTCTGTCAGAACCTCCTCCTTGCAGCTGAGTAACACTGCACCGTGTGAGCAGCCCGGGTTTGGTTCATCTGGCCAAGCTCACGGCACTGGGCTGTTCGCATCTGTCAGCCAGACAACTCGCCCTTCGAACGCTCCTGGACAAGTCCCATACGAGCACCCTTACTGTTCGTTCCCCGGTGCTTTCCCTTAGCCTGCTCGTCCTGGCTGAACCAATGCACTTAAAGGTGACGCGCAGGCCCAGCGGCTGCTGTGGGGTTCAGGCAGCTGATCCCACGTGGCTGACAGCACAGTCTGAGTCGTAGACCTGGTGGCTTGACAATCACGCCAGGCATGTGTGCGTGCATGCCCAAAATCCCGTGAGGAGGATGGATTTGTGTGTCCATGCCCCTTCTCTGTCTCTCTCTGTCTCAGTCTCTCTCTGGTGAGCACACGTACTCTATAGCAAACAAAAGAGAGAAACAGGGGACCAGCAGTTAGTGTAATGGCTATGTCTCTGGACTCCCATATAATTGACCACAGTTCGCATCCCGGACCAGGTGGTTTAAAACTCACACTGAGCGCGTGTGCGTGCGTGCCCAAGATCCCGAGAGGAGAATGGAGAAGAAGGGATTGCAGTGTGGCAATCTACCCCTGGGGGTTGATTTCTCTCTTTCTGTCTTTCTGTCTCTCTCTGTCTTCCTGGCGACCGCACGCGCCCTATAGCAAAAACATCTCAAAAAA